AGATGACACAACTGTAAACCTACTTTTGTCCCACCCTATAGGTGTAAATCACTAAACAGTTCCAAATGCATAAGCTAAGATTCACCCAAATTCTACTCCCTGATATTAGGGCCTCTGGCTTCCATCTGATTTCTTACAGCTCTTGTCCTGGGTAGAAGGCCAACAACATTCACAACGGGGATATGAGTTTTAGGGGGTGATTGTCACATTTCAAGTGTTTTACTGATTACCAAGCAATTTACTGTTACTGATTAACCTTGCACATTCAAGAAATAGTTTAGACAACAGAAGTTTTTGACTTATTAGAATTATTAAAGTATCAGTAGAAAGATAATACATTGTAAGAGTGACAGGAATTGTTTTAACTAATAACCACTTTACCATTTCTCAGGCTAATTTTATTCTACATTTAACTTCAACTTTCACCTACATGCTAATGACTCCCAAATCTCTATCCTCGGCTTTCATCTCAATCTCAAACCTAAGGTCTGTATATTCATCTGTCTACTGGACATTTCTATTTGGAACTTCTACTTGATCTTTTTAAAATATAAGCCATTACCTTTCCTCACTAACTGGCTCTTAGATTCCCTTCTGGACTTACCTCAGCCCCACACCTTATCCTAGGTCCACATCCAGAACCGGTCCTTTATTCTTCCCTTCTCCATCCTCCATTTGCAAACAAACAGTCAAAAGGCCCCTTTGCATTGGGCTCCTGTACATTGGTGCAAAGTCACTTCTCCTTTCACTGTGCCCTATTTTTAGTTTAGGTAGGTTACCTCATATGAATCACTGCAATCTCCTCTTCCAAGTTCTCCTGGCTTAGACTCACCGTCCTTCACTCCATCAATCGCACTGTCAGAAACGGGCTTTCTAAATGCAAGTGTGATTACTAGTAGCTCGCTTGCTGTCCTGAAAAGTTTCTCCAGCATCACAGCTTGGCATACAAAGTGTATCTGCATCTGGCCCTGCCTACCTCTGCAGCTTTACCCATAGCCATTCTCCCATATCAGTCCTTTGCTTATCACTGCCTACACCACTTGTGGCTTCCACACTCTGCATGTGCCTACATGCCTTCTCATGGCTGTGTTCTCTCTCCCAATGGCCTTGCTTCTCCCCTGGCTGGCTTGTGTGTATTTTTCCAGACTTACCTAGTTCTTGACTTTCACTTGACCAGCATCGAAAACAGAGCACATCTTGCATCTACTATAAAATTTCTTCTAGTAAAGCTTTTGTTCTTGATTATTTTATTGTTGAATTGTGACCTCTAATTAAGAATATGTTTTACATTTTAGAATTCTAATTCTAAAAACTGTTGTAAAGCAAAAGCCAATGAGTATGGACAGGGCAGTGGTTCCGTGTTAGTATCCTGACTGTCAGGTCCTCTCTATCTACACCTCAGGAAAGACTCATAAGAGGATGAAGACCAACCATACCTATAGGCTGTGAATATCCATACCAAACAAATGTTCCTGCTCATGGTAGGATACATACCATATCTGCAGGTTTTGTTGACATCTAGCATACATGAGGCTGGTTCAACCAACCCAGCCCAGTTTCCCTCTTGCATAGACTAAAGCAGTGATGGCGAACCTATGACACGCGAACTCATTGTTTTGGTTGATTTTTCTTTGTTAAATGGCATTTAAATATATAAAATAAATATCAAAAATATACATCTTTGTTTTACTGTGGTTGCAAATATCAAAAAATATCTATATGTGACACGGCACCAGAGTTAAGTTAGGGTTTTTCAAAATGCTGACACGTTACCAACTGTGCAGATTCTGTTAAGTAATGGACAAAGCAAATGGCAACAAAGACAGAAGACTCAACTTCAATTTAACTGTCCTGGAAGGTACATAGTAATTAGCTGCAAAGCTCTGAAATCTTAGCTAGCATGTTAAGTCTGCTACATGACAGTATAATTTGACTTCTTAAAGGATTATGCAAATTACAACTCATCATTCCATTACAGGAATGAAAAAAAGTGACAGCTAATTTATACATAACACACCTTTCAAATCCCTAAGATGCACAGCACCTGTGCAATGTATTTTGCTGAGATTTTCTTGCATATAAGTATTTGTTTATTGCAATAAAAAAAGCTTACCTAAGAGCTTTAATATAGTCATTTTTTAAAAAAAAAAACTCTTAGACCAGAATTTCAAAAGCATTCACATTTTTTTTCTGTCTTGATTTCAGAGACACATTTTTTGGTTGTTTTTATTCTATTTGGTTTTGGTTTTTCCACCCCCCACTAAATTAGAAAAATATAAGGTTTCAATACAAGGATATTTTTTTAATAGCTGGCAACCACAAGCACTGATGCACGAGTCAGAAGGAAGACTCACAAAGATTTCAACATACTTCTGGTAGGTAGATTCACAGTAGATTCCGTCATATCTGTAGATTTTCCTACATTCAGATTGGTTGGGCAGAGGATGCTGGGCAGTTATTCTGTAGAGGCATCAAAAACAGATACACATGACTAAAGGTTCTCTACAGTCAACTGGAATGCAGGATAACAAGTATGTTGAAATTTAATATATAGTTTTCTTTTTATGCTTTTCAGCTATATACATAACTGCAATGTGCACATACATTTTAGAACATTAACTTCCACTTTTAGGAAACTTCAGCAGAGAAAACTTTTCAGTTCTTCATCAGAACAAAAACAATTTTTTAACCTCAGAGTCATAAAAGTGGAAGAAAATAAAGACATAAGGTCTAAAGCGTAACCCACTCTACAATTCCCATGATTAAAGGAAATGCCCAAAACAAATGTCATTAGTGTTTTCTTGTTGTTACAGGATTGTCATTAACTTAATCATGCATTATCACTGTAGGCAACTGTAAATTAGCCATAGAACCTTACTAAAGTTAATATATTTTTCAGATTTACTCAAGTTATATAGTTTGTATGCTACTGACTTCTAAAAGGATATTATACAGCTTACAGAACTGAACCCAATTAGGGATGAAAACACAAGCCACAAGCGAGACCGTCAGGAGCAAGGGTTAGTTAGATGTTAACAGGCACCTGAGATGAGCTGATTACAGTGGCTCCAGGTTTCTTGGCAGTTAAGCAAAAGGGGGGAAAAGCTTATACATACAATTTTCATCTGTATTACTTAAGCACATAAATTCATCGGAGGCTCCCCACTATAGACAAAAATGCTGAGAGTTTTCTGACCATTTTCTTCAAATCTCTGTAAAAAATCAATAAAATATATTAGAAAACAAAAAGACTTCAGCATTCATGTAGGGAGGTTTTCCCAATCACCCTTAATGGGGCCTATTTGCATTCTTCAGAATCTGTTTCGAAATGGTTGGAAACTTACCTTACTTCCTATCAATGCTTTATTTTATGTTTTTCATCTTATTTTGAAAACAGTCATGTGTCTAAGGCTCATTAGAAACACAGAGTGGGGCAAAAGCAGGTTTACAGCTGTTTGTAAGGGATTCGGGAGAAAAAAAAAAAGTATTTAAGAAATCTATCATGTATTTTAGAGGAAGTTAATGTAATGTAACCAATATATAATAGCAATAAGAGTACCAAGATAGTACCACTTTATCACAAAGGGTAATATAATACCTAAATATTTAACATATAAATGTATTTAATAATTTCTTAATTATTAGTTAAAACATAATGGGTTCTTGTTATTTTGTAAGAACTCAGATGACTGTGTTCAATTTCTTGGGAGTAGAATAGTAAGTTACTTAATATTTCATATGGCCCAATATTTTTAATGACAATACTTCTAAATATTTAAGCTCTACTTTTGAGCTTTATTTAGATGTATTCCTAAGATTTTATTTAAATACATTTCTGTTCCATTCAGCCTGGCCCCAAATCTCTTATTAAAATTTAGTGGGCCAACGATTTTATATATAATTAACCATTTACCCTTTGTTTAAAATGATTTCCTAGGCCTTTGTTAATTAGTGCATTCAATTTAATAAATACTCATCTTCATTAACTATCACTGTATTTCAAAGGTTTACATTAACCCACATGGTATTTATACAGAAAAGCAAGAAATATAAAAAAATCTTGATATGAAGAGCAGTTTTAAAAGATTCAGTAATAGCCTAAATTAATTTTAGCCATTTCATGTGGTAAATCAGATTCTGAAAAGTTGTTTTAAGCAGGTAATGTTCCTAGTAGCAACAGCTAATATAAATTACAGATTTTTAAAAAGAGTTGATTTGGCCTAATACCACACTAAGAAACACTATATTTCTGTTCAGTGTCACTTTATGCTTTAAAATTGACTTCTTATATTTTGATTTGTATTAAAAATTAATGTGCTTAAAAAGCATTTAATTAAAAACAATTTGGAGTGGTCAAAGAACAACCAATTTTACTGGTTCTCAATATGATTTTGAAACAAACTAACTTAGCCAGAAAAGGTAGAGAGGGAAAAATAAATATCGGGGGGAACATTTTGTAAAGTATATGATTGTCTAACCATTACACTGTACACTGAAACTAAAACAAATTAATATTGAATGTAAACTGCAATTGAAAAAAGTAAACTTTGAATTAAAAAAGTATAGTCATACAAGGACTTGAAAATCTGAATCAATATCTAAAAGTGATTAGTGCTTAACTGAAATTCAGAACTAAAAGGGGGGGGCGGGTGGACCAAAACACCAAAAACCTTTTCTTCCATGACAGCAAAGGTTGTAACGAAATTTTCATTTACATTCAATGTACCATGGAGGAAACTGTCAGGTTGAAAAAAAAGAC